CCCCCCTCCCCCTTACTCCCCCCCTTCCCTCCTCCCTACTCCTTTCCTCCTTTTTTCCCTCTTCTCCTCCCTAGCTGCTCCTCTCCTCTCCCCCTCGTCCTCTCGACTCCCCTTCTCTTCCCCCCCTCCTCCTCTCCATCACCTTCGAAAGTCTTGTTGTTCTCCAGGATCTTTCCGTTATAGATGAGTTTCAGGTCATCTGGGCCGCTGACGGGGTCGCGATCTGACCGACACGTCAGTCCAGAGAGGGAGAGGAACCCACGAAACAGCATCGAAAGCGCGATGCAAGCTGAGCATTCCCATCCCTCCCTCTGCCTTCCCCGCTCCTCCTCTCGACTTCTCCCCTCCTCTACCCGGCCCTCTGGCCCTCCCCCCGCCTCGCAAACTCCATCCCCTCCCATAGTGCTTGCTCTGCTGCTCCATCCTCCCTCCACCTCTCACAACAGCAACCAACAGATCAGGAGATGGGGACATCAGATGACACACGACATGCCTGCCGGCCACTTCGACACAAGTTTCGCCTTTGCGGACTGAATCGAACAACCTGGAAACAGGGTCAGAAGATAGAGGGTCAGCATCGACGATGCAAACAACGCCGCGAGAGAGAGACGGGGGAATCACGATGGCAACACAGCTTACAAGAACCTCCTCTCTCCTCACCTGACTCGAAACTATCCTCCATCGTCTTCGCGTCAGCAAACATGAACTTGATCTCGTACATGGTCCCGGGATTTCTCAGCTTTCAAACGTGCTTCGGGCAGGAACTGGCCACACTATTCCGAAACCAACGCAAAGAACCCCTGCTTGCTCCTCAAGTCCCTTGTTTGCTCCTCAAGTCCAACGGCAGTGGCGCAGGTTTACCTTAGCATCGCTCCTGGCTCCACCAAAATCTGCAGGGCATCATGAGACCTGAAAGCACCTGCAAGCTCTGGTAGGCTCAAACTCATCTAAAGTTGGGGAGGACGTTGAAACTTCTCAAACCTGCTCGCATAGATCGACAGCTGCTAATGATGTGCCACCGACAACAAGTGTTCTAGTGTCGGTAGACATTGGTATGTTCATTTGCTCGTGAAAGATTCCTCTACGCAAATGTTTGGATCCTGTCTTGTATTACACACACTGCATTTCTCCACAGCAACACCCGCATCTTCCTTCTAGATCTAGCGTTCTATATCATGTTCTAGACCTCACTGGCTCAACTCACTTACTTTCACATGCTGCTTCTGAAACTGGATCCACTCCTCTGATACACCACTCCAGCACCACCATGACACAACCTGTCCCTTATACCTAGGATGATCCCACTCTCATCCTCTTTCCCTGTCTCCCTCTTACATCCCACTTCCCCCTTCTCTCACTCTGTCTCACTGTTCTCTCATCAAAATCCACTCTCTCACCATCTCCTCCTCCTCCTCCTCCTCCTCCTCCTCCTCCTCATTCCCCGCATCCCTCCTCCGGCACCGCCATGACCAACTGACTGTCCCAATGCTTATCCCACCACCCACCCCACCCCACACGAGGAGGATTATATTGGTGATTTTGCCCCAGTCATCAAATACTACCCCACCCCCGAATTCAAATTACCCTACCATCAAATTTATACACCCCTCAATTATCCTGTGCTATACCCCACTTATGACCGACATTGGTGTAGCAATCAGATGACCCCACCTGACTTTTCTCGCTACCCCACCCTCCATTGTTATTGCATTGTGCGACTGCATAGAGTGATATGGGGTGGGGGTGGAATCTGACTCGGCGAACCATAACCTTTAGAAAGTTTTGAATATCACATGTAAGATTTGAAATATGCAGAAACATTGTTTCAAACTTGGAAAAACATAAAGCACCAGCTCACTACTTTGTATTCCATCGAGCATCTCAGAATAATTTTCAAATTTGATAGAAATATTTGAACCTTGACGATTCACCCGTCCTTGCAACGATGGTTGACCCCCCTTGGTAGGGTAGGGTACTAAGGCACAGTACCCCTCTCTTGAACATTCATTCAATGGGTCCTTGGTATCACCCCACCTATCTACACAATAGCAATTGGAGGGGTACTGAAAGAGACATAAGGTAACGTGCAACGGGGGGGTTACACACTGTGATGATGAGGTCGGTGGGGTGATATACCCCTACCCACCGTTTACCAGCATTATTGTAGAGAATTCAGGGTAGGGGGTACCTACAAAGACCTAATTAAGACCACCCACCCCCACCCTGATTAAAATCAATACACCCGTGGATTTCAAAGATCACCGGTACTTCCAAATAGCCACCCCTTTATATCCATTAATTTATTTTTGAAGTACCCACCATTTTGAGAAATATTCTTCGTATACCGGTACTGAATGTGAGATGACCCCAGCGAGCGTTCAAGCACCCCTGGCAGAATCCCATGGAATTCTCCACCCCCAATGTGACCTTGGACCTCCACCCCAATCTTGTCTACCCCTACCCCCTCTCAACATCTCTTTTATCAAATGTACCGGTATATTCAATACTTTTATCCCGATCAGGGTACCTGGTACGATTCCAACCACCCTACAGATTCGACACTCCACCTCCTTCTTGAGTACCCTACCTTAGCACCCTTTTGATGGACCCTTGAGAATTTTTAGCACCCCTAATTTCCCATCAAAGTACCCCTTATCTAGACCTCACCCCCAGCAAATTTGTAATAAGGACCCCTGGTTCCAGCAAGGAGTACCCCCGTTCCCCCCCACTCCCCCTGATTGAACATTTTACCTCGCTTCCTTTGCGGTAGGGGCGGAGAAGGAGCAGAAGGGAACCAAGTAGCAACTGCTAGGCCTCGCCCATCAACATCGAAGTCTCCCTCTCCATCCTCGTCTTCGGAATCGTTCTCCTCCCCCATCTCCAGCTTGTCTGACTGTCCTGCTCCTTGGAGGACGCCTTACGGACGCCTTCCCTGGACAACACGTGCGATCGGCATTGGCATTGGAAAGCGGCTCATCTGAACGCTCTGTGCTGCATCCTCGGCTCTTAACAGCGAGACTCGCATTCACTCTTTGAAAGGCTCTCCAGGTCTCTTGCTTGACTGGCTTTCCCCTCGTTCAAAGCTTTGCGCCTGTTTGCGCTCGACGGAGGACCGGGTCATCGCTGCCGCCAACTTTGTGGGAGAGATCGCCTCTGGTTGAAGGAGAAGCTTCTTTGGGGGCTGCCGGGGACATTTTCCTCTTGTTCATGGGCCATCCTTGCCCTTGACCAGCAGTAGTCCGCTCGTGTTTAAGTTGAAAGCGCCGGTCTGATCGCATGTCCGTCCCAAAGGTCTCTCTGGACATTGCGGCGCATCGGAGGCAGGGGATCGAGCCTGTAGCCATCGGCAATGCGCTCCCGAGCTTCTCCGTGCGCCTGACCTCGGCCATGGGCTCGAGCGTCGTGTCGGCTGTGGCGACTACTCCCTTTGATGTGGTCAAGACGCGCCTGCAAGTCTTCGACAGGGCCACCAGTTGCGCCTTCAGCTCGAGCGTGAGGTTCCAGCACGTGGTCTGCTGCCAGCCGACCTCCAACGGGAGCCTGTTCCTGGGTGCCAACCCCCGGCCCAGCGCGTACCGGATGATGGCGTGTATCGTGAAGAATGAGGGGCTGACGTCTCTGTGGAGGGGTACGGGGTACGCCATGCTGACGTCGCTGCCGTCTGTGGGGATCTACCTAACGTGCTACGAGCAACTGAAGCACCATCTGCAAGCGAGGATGGAGAAGGGGAAGTACTTCGCTCCCATCGTCGCGGGAAGCGTTTCAAGGACGCTGGCAGTCGTCATGACGAACCCGCTGGAGCTGGTGAGGACACAGATCATGGCACAGAGAGGAACAAGCAGGGGCAATGCAGGAGGAAGGGTGCTGATGAGCCAGGCGATGCAGTCAGGAGGAGTCTTGTCTCTGTGGAGGGGAGTGATCCCGACCCTGTACCGGGACGTTCCGTTCTCCGCCACCTACTGGCTGGTCGCTGAGATGTCGCGCGACTCTCTTGCTGTGAGTTGCGCACTCCCTCCTCCTGTTCTCAACCCTCTTGTCCCGCTTCGTGCCTCCGTCTCCCTCTCCCTCTCCCTCTCCCTCTCCCTCTCCCTCTCCCTCTCCCTCTCCCTCTCCCTCTCCCTCTCCCTCTCCCTCTCCCTCTCCCTCTCCCCCTGCTCTCTCCCGTTACTCACTGACGTCCCTCCGTCATGCAGGCCAAGCTCGGAGCTTCACTGCCTACCAAGAACCGCAACAAACTCGAGAACGTGCATAACGAGCGCATTGCCAGCGCCTCTGACATCTTGTGGGTCAACCTGGCGTCAGGCATGATAGCAGGAAGCGCAGCGGCGCTCCTGACCCATCCCTTCGACGTCATCAAGACTCGCATCCAGGTTGAGATCACGCATGGGATCAAGGAAGAGACGGACATGAAGACGCTGAGCATCCTGAGGAGGATGATCCAAGCGGAGGGATGGGTCTCTCTTTGGGGAGGAGTGGTAAGCAGGAGGAGGAGGAGGAGATGTTTGAGGGAAGGGAAGATTGAAGTGGGGGGGAGGGGCGGGCACGGGAAGAAATTTAGAATGGATGGAGGAGGAGGAGGAGGAGGAGGAGGAAAGAGTTTTGGTGTTGGTTGACACTGACCGTCTACACAGGGGCCGAGGGTCTTGAAAGTAGCACCGAGCTGTGCGATCGTGTTGGGCACCTACGAGATGTTGAAGTATGTGTGGGCGGAAGGAAGGTGATGAAAGGTCATGGTTGATCTCACACGAGTAGAGCAGAAGAGGAGAGGAACTGATACGTCCTAGAACTTTCTCTTCGACTTTTTCGTGCTGTGTAGGAGCGGAAGGTGTTGTTCTCTTGTATTCATTGTTCTCAATTTCCTATACCTGTTATCTCTCTATAAACAGTTCTCCCAGTCTTCCTGTTTGAATTCCCTGTCTGTTGCGATAATCCGGCATCAGTTGAAGTGAGGACGCGATCAGATGCTGAGGAACAGAGGGAAGGTTGAATAGAGAGCGTGAAAAAAGTGAAAAAAGTGAGCAAGTACAACCGAAGGCACAGTCAGAACTGTAGGGAGGGATTCTCGACAGTTGAGTCTGATAAGTGCTCCCTTACCATGTGTACAAGGTGACACGTTACGGCTCGAAACGAGCAAGAAAGTTATAACACAGGCGGGTGTGTGGAAGGGCTCCAAGTAGTGGAATCAGTGTTCACCGTGTACCCAATAGGAAAATTGGAAATCCTCAATGCCTTCCCCCTCTCCTCTCCTCCTCTGTCCACTCCTCTATCTCTCTCTCCTCTCCTGCTACGGAATCACCTGTCATACGGATGAAACCTGGATCCTCTCATGCCAGCATCTCCCGCGCCGTTTCCTCCGCGTCCCGATGAACGCCCTTCCGACCTGTCTCTGCCTCCCTCTGTAGAAAATCTTCCTTCCCTGCCTCTGTCTCGATCTCTGTCCCTGTCCCTGTCCCTTTCTCGGTTCCTGTCCCTATCCCTGTCCCTATCCCTGTCCCAGTCCCTTCCACGATCCCTTCCACGGTCCCTGTCCCTGTCCCTGTCCCTGTCCCTGTCCCTGTCCCTGTCCCTGTCCCTATCTCTTCCGCTCCCCTCGTCTTGATTGAAGCCGGCGTCTCCTTGACCCATCGCTTGCTGCTGCATGCGCATCCATTCTGCCCACACATTCTCGTACTGGTTGGCAACGCTCCCTCCGCCCATCCGATCCTGCTGGTAGGATGCAGTCTGCTGCTGCGGCTGCTGCTGTTGCATCGCTGCCATCATCATCATCTGGTACATCTGCGCCATCCTGGTCGGGTCCATCATCCAGTTTTGACCCATTCCCCATTGATTCATCCCACCACCTCCCATCCCCTGGGCCCCTCTGCCGTCTCCTCCAGCGTTACCGCGGGCAGCGTTGGTGGCTTGTTGCTGTCACCTCGTCTTAGTCAAGAAGTTCCAACCGTCAACATCCTCACCTGCGCTCTCTGAACGCTTTTGGGAACAGCCAACTTGATCTCTACACGCTTGTTGTGCAGCTCGTGCTCCTGGTAGTTCATCACGTCCTGCACTGTCTCCGCGTGCTTGAAAGTGACGAACGCAAAGCCTCGACTCCTGTGCGTCTGAGGATCCACCATAACCTTGGAAGCGGAACCGTCAGTCTGTAACCTATCGCTTCCTCCGCATTCATCCCCTACCTGCACGTCTTCCACCTCCCCGTACTTGCCGAAGTACTCGTACAGGTCTTGGGTGGTTACGGTGGAAGCGATGCCTCCGACGAAGACTTTGGAGGTCTGCAGCGAATCGTCAGCTGATATCCCAGCTCGGCATTAAGGGAAGGGGCCGACCGAGTTGTCCTCTTGAAGCAGCTTCTGCGGTTGAGCTCCGGCAGCAAGGGCGTCGCGCCGCACGGCACTCTTCACGTCAACCTGAGCGCACACGGCATCAGAAATGTGAGGGAGGGACAGAAGAGACTTACCACACGCCCTCTGATCTCATGCCTCCCCCTAACAACGTTGTCGGCAACTAGGACATCGGTCAGCCCCCCGTGCAGAGTGAAGCGAGGGATACCAGCCGGGTCGTTGAAGGTCACAAATCCGAATCCTCTTCCCTTCCCGGTGTTCTTGTCTGACATAAGCGTCAGTCACGTCCAATCCTCGGTGAGTTGACTTACCTCTCATCACGACTACATCTGTCAAGGATCCAAACTGCTCGAAGTGCGACTTGAGATCCATCTCCGTCGTGTCCAGCGTGATGCCTCCGATGAAGAGTTTGCTGCGAAGGGGATCAGAGGCAGAGCGGAGCCTTCAGCTGACGTCACCCCTCAGTTGCTGATGGGTTCATGGCAGCGGCAGAGGTGTTGATATGCTGCTCTGCCCCGCCATCTACACCGTAAGCATGTGGAGCACTGGGATGCTGATCCATCTGAGTTGCCCCGCTGTTGGCCTCGTACGGCTCATCTTCGTTGGGGAAGTCATCTTGTCCATGGAGGGGGGATCGATCAAAGCCATCGGATGAAGCGTTTGATCCAGGCATGCCCCTGGTAATGAAATCATCATGAGGTGGCATCAAACATTTCAGTATTTCAACGTCCATGCAGACAAGATTATAGATCATAATGTCTCAAATCTAGAGATTTCAAAGTCTCAACATGATTGTACCAGATGAATTGTCTTGGAGTTCAAGAGTTAGTCGGCCTAACAAAAACTTTCGGCTGCACCACATCCAGTCAGCAAAACTTTTCTCAATGAAGAGTAATCGCAAAACATTTTCAAAGGGCAAGGGTGTTTGGTACAATCATGAGTTTTCGTTATCGTTTTGAAATTGATCAAAGCTAACTTCAATACTGGTATCTCATTCTTTGGCCTCACATTCTTTTGTCTTATCAATCCAATGAACTTATATGAATACAAAACACTACAAGCTATGAAGACCTCGAAACTTCCACCATGGACTTTGAAGTTGACATGATTTATTCTCGTCATGACTACCGACGATTACCATCTCGGCTCTAGAGAGTAACGTAGCAATTTTTCTATGATGGTACAAACAACAGTACTCCAGGAGAGGGCATCGGACTGGATCCATGTAGATACTGATCACTGAAAGGTGAGGATAGTTGGTTTTTGGTGCTTTTCTCCGAACAAACGACCCGAACTTCAATGAACTTTCATGATGCAATCGCATTGCACAGAAACACAGCATTGCACAGAACATATCTACCCTGCTCCTTCTTGTGCGTTTGTGAATCGCTTGCCTCAAACTTCCTTTGGGTGCAACGACGTCACTCTAACCTCTACATTAATGCCCTAAAGTTGACAGTATGCTGCATTGCGTCTGCCAAATCAACTCCCGAATCCTGTTTCTTCGTTCTCCCTATCTTTGTCAAGTAACTCGCAATGAATGTGAATCAAATTCTTGCTAGCGATGTTATCTTTCTCCCGATTCATCCCTTCCTTCCTCCTTTCTTTCTCAGATACACGTTGAATCTCCCACAAATTCAAAAGCGAACGGAAATCCTGCATACTTCGTTCTTCGGATCCTGACGACTAACTTTCCTTTCATCACGATTATCTCTTGGCCTCTCTCTCTCCATCCCTCCATGGAATAGTATCTACAGCATGCTCCTCCTCTCCTCCTCCTCCTCCCCTTCCTTAGCCTCTCAGCCCCTCCCTCCCCGCCGCCTGCAGCATTTCCGCTCCCGTCCCGTTACACCCTCCTCCCCACCCCTCCCTCTGTCTCCACCCCTCTGCCTGCCTACCCCTACCCCAAAGAGACATGCATGACCCACCCCAATCAATGTAATACCCCCAATATTGTAGATTTACACCCCGTACTCAACAAAGGAAATCATCCATTTGCCCACCCCCCATCGAAGACTACCCAGAAAATTTCTACCCCTACCCTAATGCGTCTGCCGCACCTGCAGCTCGAGACCGTTATATCCGTTACTTTCCCTTCCTCACGAAGGACCCCTACCCATCTTGAGGAGCAGTCCGTAATTCGACATGTACCCCTACTTTGATTTTAAAGTACCCACCCTTATCCAGTACCTACCCCCTTTGGAGAGCTGGCCGGGCCTGAGCTGAACGAGTCCGCCTCAGATCCCCAGCACAATGAGAAAAATTCCAGCCTCATCCCCTCCTAGGCCCAGTGGACCGAAGGGTCAAGTGTGTGGGGGAAGGACCCCTACTTGTACATACCCACCCCGCCATTTCCCTTCCAAAGTGAGGCAAAGGACCAGTACATATACTACCCCCACCAAGGTGGTGCATGTTCGCAATGTTCACCAAGTTGATTCCAGGTATGCGGATGAATGAGATGAGCGACAGGAGAAAGAGGAGGGGGCGAGGTTGGAGGAGGAGGAGGAGGAGGAGGAGGAGGAGGAGGAGGAGGAGCAGCAGCAGCAGCAGCAGCAGCAGCAGCAGCAGCAGCAGCAGCAGCAGCAGCAGCAGCAGCAGCAGCAGCAGCAGCAGCAGCAGCAGCAGCAGCAGCAGCAGCAGCAGCAGCAGCAGCAGCAGCAGCAGCAGCAGCAGCAGCAGCAGCAGCAGCAGCAGCAGCAGCAGCAGCAGCAGCAGCAGCAGCAGCAGCAGCAGCAGCAGCAGCAGCAGCAGAATTTTTGAAAGAAGGGAGACAGTGCAATGATAGCAGTAGGGGGCGACTGTCAGAATTGTGGGGGGAGGGATGTGGAGGCTTTGACAGGTTGAAGTTGATGTGTGGGGTAGTGTTTGAAATTTGAGCTGCGCGATACGCTGAGGCGAGCTAGGAGGTAAACGCTGAGCAAGAGGAGGAGAGTGACTAGTTGAGATGGATGAGTCTACCGTACGCAACATTTCAGAGGAGGCGGTCCGATCTATGAGAGGAAGGCACCCGTGCATGGCTGTTGCTCACTCGCTCGGTAGATCGTGCAGCAGGTCAGATTGGGCGCGTGCATGTGAGAGACAACCGGGACCCGACGATGCCTCGTGACGGTGAGGATGCGGTATGTGAAGGAGGGGGCTGACTCTCTTCAAGACGCCAACAGCTGGAGCTTTGCGAGGAGGAACGACAACGAGGGCAAGTGGCAGGGAATCCCTCCCAACAAGCCTCCTCCTGCCTGGGCCATGTGAGCTGGTCGGGCTGGAGGACGGAGTCTGCAGGGATAGTGGGGAAGGGGGTTGTAGCTGTAGATGACGTCGAGGATAAAGATGAAGGACGTTTGACTGCCTCATGCTTGTTGTGCTCGCTCACACAACGAGGAGAGGAAGACTTGGTGCTCAGGAAAAAAAATTCGAGTCGAAGATGTTTACTTGCTCAATGCAGCCAACGCTTGTCTGAGACCTGAGAACAAAGAAGGTCAAGATGTTCGTTGGTGTTGTCGCTGATGATGATGATGATGATGATGATGATGAACAACATGATGGAGAGCGAAGAAGGAGCAGAAGATAGTGATTCCCTTACCTTGCTCATTCGCTCCTTGTACAGTCTGTACTTCCCTCCCTCCTTTCACGAACTTGAAAGTTGGCATCGCCTGTCACACGAGTCAACTCCTAATCCTAATCCTCACCCTCGTCCTCATCCTCATTCTCACCCTCTACCCTTTCATACATAAACTCACACATTCCTCCCCCTCTCCCCTCTCCTCCTCCTCCTCCTCCTCTCTCCTCCTCCT